CGTTAAGGAAACACATATCGAGGCAGGGTGGCAGACTGCAGCCCTTCCAGGAGGAGAACTAGCAGTGAAAGTGTCTCCTGAGATCGACGCCATGTTGGAACTTAGGACTCTGGGAAGCCAAGCCAGCACCTCCCCTCCCTGGTAAGCGGCGGTAGTTTAGCCCACTGCAGCCCTTCCAGGGGGAGAACTAGCAGTGTCTCCAGAGATCCACGCCATGTTGGAGCTTAGGACTCTGGGAAGCCAAGCCAGCACCTCCAAAAAAGAAAAAAAAATCAATGTATATTATATGCAAGTTGCAGTACACCAAAATGTAATCCACTATTCTGTGCAATTTACATGAACTTATAAAATAATTTTCAGATTCTATAAAATAAAAAAAGATTAAAAAAAAAGGAAACACATATCGAAACAAAACTGAGAATCCATCTTACTCCAGAAAGAATGGCTATCATTGAGAAATCAAACAATAACAAACCCTGGCGAGCCTGCAGGGCAGCATTGAGGTTACATTGTTGGTGGGAATGCAAACTAGTACAACCAGTATGGAAATCAGATTCATCAACAAACTAAAACCAGAAATTCCATTTGACCAGCTATTCCCCTTCTAGGTGTCTTCCCCAAAACAGTTAAAGACATTATATTACAGTGATACCCATGTTTATAGAAGCAAAATTCATAAAGCTGAATATTGGAAGCAGCCTATATGTCCATCAGCAACTGAATGGATAAAGACAATGTGGTATTGGCACATAATGGAATACTACTCTACCATAAAGAAGAATAAACCTGAACCGTTTGTAGGAAAATTCATGCATTTTGGCATCAAAATGTTAAGTGAAATAAATCAGGCACACAAACCTAACTATCACATGGTTTGTCTTACACAAGAAACAAAATTATAAGTAATCAGCAAAATAAAGATAATTGCAAAGGAAATAGATCTTCCTCAAATGGAAAGGGAACCAAAAGATAGAGAGAAGAGAGAGAGAGGGAATGGATAGAGGATGAAAGCATAAATTGAAATGTATTATGAACATGTATCAACTCCACCCAAGTGGTGTAAACATTATTTAAAAAAACATTTAAAACAAATGTCCACCATAAGTAGGTTAAATAACATTGGTTACATAATTTTCTATTGTTTACACAGACTACATAAGGTAAGAAAAGTATATGTAACCCCTTTCAAGGATGATTCAAAAAACTTTTGATATTTTTCCAGCTAAAGGAATTTATCTGTGATAAGAATGCGGCAAAAGCTCAAGTCTTAGGCTCTTTTTCCCTTTTCAATTTTGCACATCATGGCTTTCTGAGGCATAGTCTGTTGGCATATATTCTGGATATCCATTTAAATGACTAAACAGCTAAGTGAAAACAATTCTTTGATAAGTCATTTGTAGTGTACACACACCTAGGCATCACACAAGAATCCCTTTCAAGTTCCGCTGCTGGTCCCAAGAATGTCCTTCCTAGCAAAATGTTCCTACATAGCGATATGTACTGCCTTTGACTGCCACTCATCTTCAATTTCTTTCAATTCAGAACAATTTCATAATCCTCCCTTTATTTTCATAACTGTAATTTATTAAGATAATAGGTAAGTTATTTCTTAGAATATTCCTTTGTTATGCTATTTCCTCATAGAGTCAGGGTCTCCGTGGATATGGAAAATAAAGCTAAATTATAGCATGCTATCAGGGGCCACAATATTTTAATTTGATGGTAAACCTCAAAAAGGTTGTTTTGGTCAGGTTATGTCATTGGAGTTATTCTTTTCTCTTTATAATGAATACATCTTATATGACATGATACTTTGAGACTATATAAGCGTTCCATTTCTTTTCTAACTTTTGCCAACAAATTTTAGCATTCATCATTACTTTCCTGAATTAATTATTCTATGATTTTTCTCACATGGTAATTTTTGGTTTCTATTATTTCTTCTACATTCAATAGCTATCATATTACTATAAAAAAGAACTTTTGGTTTTTCCTCTGTTTTCTTCAATCTACATCATTTAGTACCTCTTTAGGGATTGAACTCACGACCTCGCGTTTGCCAAGCAGGCACTCATGCCGCTGAGCTAAATCCCCAGCCCCAACTCAATAGTATTTTCTTCAGTGATTTTAATCAGTTCTTATCATTATTTATTTTAATTTTCAAGTAGTCCCAGATTTGTCTTGATTCAAGCTGGCTTCTGATCCTGACATGCCCACTTTAATTTTTGAATACTTCATATCCTTCCATTAAATTATTTCTGACTTTAAAGTAAAAGCAAACTGTGCTTTTGTCATCACAGCCCTAAAATCAGTTTTTTCTTCTGAAACTTCTTCAGTTAGTGAACCACAGTGCTTTGAAGTCTGTATGCTTGGCGTGCTCTTGGTCTACTGCTGCTGTCAGGGTCTCTCAGGGAACGAAACTCCAATAGGACATAGAAGCACCAATGCTCATTCTTTGTCTATTATGTATGAGTTCCTAGCAGTGCCTCGGGTTTGGTTCAAACACAATCATCCCTCCTTTTCATTTTTTAATACTCTCTTACTGGAAAGTAGAGACATAGTCATATAATCCTCCATGAAGTTACTTAGTTACTCACTCCACCTGTGGACAGCAAATCCTCTAGCCACTGGGCCACCATCTATTCATTTACATTCCGGCTGTTTTTCTGATTTGTGCATCCTTAATGACTTTTTAATAAAGATCATAACATCTTAAAGATTTAAAATGGCAAATATTCTGAGTGACTCTGAAAGCTAAATGCTTTTTGTGTGATGGTTCAGTGCTCCAGGTTGCTTTGATCTCATTGTTCGCTCTATTTTAGGTGGTACCATCTCAAGATGAGTCTTTAGGGATCACTGAGGTGGAGGAAGAGAACACAAAATGAGCAGCTCTTATTATTTTCTCCTGGAAGGGACACATTGCTGTGCATTTGTAAAAGAGTCACCGTCACTGACGAAGAAAAATAATTTTCCTAAAACAGAAATACCACATAAATATTTTTCTCCCAGATGCAAAGAAAAGCTAGCGATTCTCAGACTCTTCAGATATTTCTATTTGCCCACACATTAGACTCAACTGGGAAGTTATAAAAATAACTGGATGGGTCTTAGCTACAGAGATTCAGATGGACTGGTTTGGATGGCAGCTAGGAGCAGCAGTTTAAAAAGCTCTCCGGGTGACCGAAACACGCTGAAGCCAGAATTAAGATCCCTGCCTCTGGTTCTGAGGTCTCTGTCTGCCCACTGCCTTCCAATCTGCATGTCACCTCCCCCAGAAAATCTCTCCAAGTCCAGGTCATGCTCCTTTGCCCTTCTGTTCTTTCTTTTCCTTATTATTTATCTCACTGTGCTATGTTAAATATAGCAATGCTATATTTAACCATTGGCTCTACAAAGGTAGATACAAGTCTTCATTTATTGAATGCTTATCCCTTGGCGTTGTTCTGTAACACACAGTAGGTGCTCACAATAGGTAATGATTACAGTACTAAATTCATACATAATATGGGACTCAAAATTGTCTTTCACATTGCTTCCTATTCCAGTGTTAAGCTTAGAAATACAGATTTGGGGTTAGGCAGTACAGACATGGGGTTAGGAAATATGTTTAGTGATATTGTTTGTAAATAACTTCTATGGACCTCTTTCTAAAGGACCCTGGCCTAACTGCAAGATAAATATTTGCAGGACTGAAAAAACCCAAGTAAAACATTTGATGCATACATGATTATTTTAACACCTGGGGATCTTTTCCTTTGAGAATCTGAAGTGACTAATATATTTGCTTAATCATATTGTACCTGTGTACCTTTCGGTAAGACAAAAATAATGATATTGTTGAGCATAAGGTCAAAAATAAGCTTTCTGTCCTTCAAGAATGTCTTACAAGAGTTAGGTAGAAGTGGAAAAAGAACAGGTTTTGAATTCAGAAGCCTTGGAGTCAAATCGGTATTCCATAGTGTTCTGAGAATCTCTGACTTGGTTCAGTTTTGGTGTCTATAGAATGCAGGGAAAGGAAGCACCTCTCACTGCTGTTAGAAGAGGTGAGATACTGCATGTGACAGTGCTTTGTAAACTGGAAAGCTCCAGGCAGTGTCTCTGGTCATTAGCTACCAAGTGGAGCTACCAGTTGGACTCATACTGAGTAGAGTATCTAACATGGTTCTTTGCCTCCTCACCTAGAATTTCTTCAGATTCTATCTATCCAGTTATTCTGCTCAGTAATTATTGGTTTCATCCTTCTCCTTTTCCCTCTCTCTTCTATTTTCCAGGCTGGTCTTGGAATCCTGGGCTCAAGTATTCCTCCTTTCTCAGGCTCCCAAGAGGCTGGGATTACCGGCACTTACTGTCATGCCCAGCTCTTCCTTTCCATCTTGCATTTCTGTTTCGAAATGAGTCTGGCAATGGAACTCAAGCCATGAGGTAGTGACAGGAGAGAGACGCCAGCCAGGCTTGCTAACTCTCTGTTCTGCTGCAATTGGGGAACAGGGAAGCAAGGAAGAGGAATGCCCCAAGCATTTGCTCACTAATTTCAAACGCGCCATTTAATTTAAATGATTATTATAATACTTGAAAGCATATTTTATAAATTTAATGAAGTCTGAGCAACTTGAAAGCTTTCCAGTTTGGCCCTCCAAAACATCTTTGCTGAGAAAGGCCGAAAGTGGAATTTCAAGAGAATGCTTTGACGCAAGGGCCAAGGATGAAAGGATTACTGGGGATTTTTATATGTTCTTTGAGTGACTTTCTATTTCAGGAGAAAATTCATATAAAGTCTACTTCACAGAAGCAGGCAGAGTTATACTAGAGAAATTCTTATGACTTAGAACACAGGAGAATTTTTATTCTGTGTCATACTGTTGTTAACTATTAAATACAGAATGACAAGCATTTAGAAAGCAGAAATGATGGTTGTCATTGAACTTTGAAAAACAGATGCAGACCTGTAAATGAAAACATTAGTTTTGTGCTTAATTTTGTGTGATGACCTTTGTTCCCAGGGCTCCTGTTGAGACTGGAGACAGACACCAGGCTTATCTGTTCATGTCATGGGAGGCTGATTCTGCGCTGTGCTCTATGATTAAAGGCTTCCAGATTAAACCGGTTGGTAAAGCACGCATGCTCTCCTCTCCTCTTGACGATTCACAGTGCATATCTGCCTATTAAAGCTCTGACCATTCCAGCAGCAAAGATTTAAATTTGTTAACTGACATTTCCAAATTTCCCCGATTGTGAGACTGTCTTAATAGAGACTTGTCATCACATCTATTAACTCTAAAGACGTGCTATCCTCTGGAGTACTGATTGGAAAACTCTGACTTATGTCAATTAAATATATTCACCCACCCAGCCCATCCACAGACAGTTTCCTTTTAGAATAGTCACAATAAAAAATTATGTAAATTTTTATGTAAAGCATAATGTCATTTAAATGAAGCATAAAGTTATTATAAGGGCTTTATTGAGATATAATTCACATATCATAAGCTGGAATGTATAAATTCAGTGGTTTGGCATCTTTGGAGTTGTGCAAACATCACCACAGTCATTTTTTTAAAAAACTTTTTATAGGTACCAGGGATCAAACTCACGACCGCCTGCTTGCAAAGCAGGTGCTTATTCCACTGAGCTAAATCCCCAGCCCCCAATTCTAAAGCATTTGTATCACCTCAGGAAAGAAGCCCTAATGCCTTTGGTTGTCACTCTCCATCCCCCAGCCTCCTCATCCAGCCCTCAGCAACATCTTCTCCATTTTGTGCCCCTCTAGGTTTGTCTATTCTAGAAATTTCACATAAATGGGACCATATAATATGTGGCTTGCTTTTTTCAGCTAGTATGATGTTTGTCCATGTTGTAACATATATGTCTTTCATTGATTTACCTGTAGAGTTCTGAAGACCAACAGAAGATCAGGAAGATAGAGCAAAGATGGGAGAAAAAACGCATCATTCCACAGGGGAACTTATTCGTTCTCAGGGCAGGGGGGACTCAGCCCTGATGAAAACTGCCCTACCAGGGAAGGGTTGCCAGATGCTTTCCTTTATCTTACATCATTTTATGGTTTGTGCTCCAGATCTTTTTACTCATACTAGATTTATGTGCTCTGCAAAGCCTGCTTTCTGAAAATTGTTGATGGGCCAACATGGACACCTTCCTTTGCCATGTGGGACATGGGGCTTGCACCTGTTTCTCAAAATGAGTACGAAGTCTGAGATGCGCATATGTGTTTCCTGCTTATTATATAGATTTCAAGAGGGAATTTCCAGGGGGACTGCTTGGTGCTTCAGTTAATCTTTTAAAACATAAAAATAGTCAGGAGAGGAAATGTTGCTTCTCTCCTGGGGCATCTGCTGGAATCACTTGAGGGACATTCGATTTTTTAAAGTGTATCAATTTTCAAAAAAAGTATAGCAATTTTCAATAATTGGCTCCCATGAACTCTGGAGCAGGGAGAAGAGAGTTCTTAACAGAGCAGATAAATCAGGGTCCAGCCAAAATTCACACCATCTAATCACTCTCCCCAAGAACAGAAAATAAAAGTTTTTATTATTATAAACAAATATCGACTGTCTGCAGTTGGTTCTATTTTTCCAGGTTGGGACTTTCTCTTGTATTCCATTTCCTGCTGCTTATTAATTAATCATGGGGCATGATGTCACTTCTTTTAGGTTTCAGAGTTCAAGAATTCTTGAAACAACTGTAGGGGTTTTAGAGAGGGGCCTTTATTGCCTTAGGAGATGCTCACGCAGTCTGATTGGTCACCACCAGTGACATGGGTCTGTGTTTGGTCCGGGTACCATTCATAATAAAATTGATTCTGAGCACTGAGGCCAGCGACTTAAGATGTTTTATGCACTTATCTCTGAGCTCCCACTTTTTCCAGACAATAGGGACATGGCATTAAATAAGACAGTCCCTGCCCTCCTGGAATTTGTACTGTGGCTCAGATGCTTCTACATCAAGATGTCTCGTGTTTTCTGTGGATGTCATGAGATAATCAGGGGCATGACAAGCTAATTCATTTATGACCTGAGCTCCCATGAGAGACTAAATGAGCAGGAAGAAGCATTTACATGCCTTGTGTCAGTAGCTTCTCTGTATGTATCTCATCTCCTTTCGGCTCCCTAACAGGCCTGCAAGTAGGATTTCTCATGACTCCTGATGGAAGAAGCCAGGCGCAACAAGGTTTATGGAGAGACAGAGCTGGGATTGCCTCTAAGACTCTCTGACTACAGACTGCATTCTCTTTCAATGAATCAGTGCTGCTATCAGAGACTGTGAAACTTTGGTGTTGACTCCAAGTTTAAAGGATGCCAAAAGGAACACGAACAGGTGACAATCCAACAATAAGGACAGAGGCTTTTTTATGCCTTGAATGCTGTATGGTGATAGAAAGAGTATAGACTCTTATAAATTAGAGATTAGTTTCCAGGTAATTCAGATTACAAAAGTAGAGCCTTACACGTTAGTAGCATGTTCATCTTTCCTGTAAAGGGTGGTGTAAAATTCTTATTGGTCTTTGGGAAGAGACTCATCCAGCTTTCTACTTTTTTCCCTGTTGTCCAGTATGTTTGTGACAGCTCAGAGATATCATATGCTTGTACCAGGTAGCAGGAAGGAAAAAAGAATGAAAGCCTTCCCTCTATTTTGGAACGGTTTCTCAGGTGTTCTGCGTGATAATTCTACTTCCATTACACGGTCAGAACTTAATTACACTGCCAACATAGTTTCAAGGGACAGTGAGAGATGTGGTCTTTTATCTGGAGGGAAATGTGCCAAAATGTAAATTGAGGTTCTGCTACTAAAAAATCTGGATATTAGAACATAATTAGCAGTTTTTGCTCTAATCTATTTCTTTGTTTTATGGTAGACTCAGCGATAGCTTATTAACTGAACTGGTTGCGTTTTTGCATTAATCCAGCAGACACTAGTTAATGTTTGCTGTGTGCCAGGTATTGAATTTAGTCCTAGGAATACAGAGAATAATAAGACTTAATGTGAACTGGACATCTGCTTTGGTCTGAGTATATTCTGAGCATCCCACAAAAGTTCATAGATAAACATTTGGTCGGCAGTATTAGGAGTATTGGGAATCTAGGGGAAGTCCTGAGGTCCCTAGGAGGAGGAATGCCCTCATATAGAATTACGGGATCCGAGTCTCTGCTTTCTCTGTCTGCTCTAATTTGAAATATGACTGCCTGCTCTGACACACACACTCCTACCATTTCTATCTGTCACCCTTTCAAGAGACCAGATTGGTGGAGCTACCAATTTGGGGCTTGAACTTCTGAATCTCTGAGCTAAATAAAGCTATTCTCTTTGCAAAATTAATTGCCTCAAGAATTTCACTGTAGTAATGTAAAGCTGGTTAATACAACATCATCAAAATTTTTAATGGATGAAGGATGACAGCTAACGAATATAGGGATTCTCTCACAATCCCGAAACTGACTTTGGTATTATATACATAATTTTGTAACTACTCTAAAAGTCATTGAGTCAAATACTAAAAAGGTGATTTGTATAGTGTGTATATTATATAACAATATAATTGCTTAAGAAAAGACTATGAAGGGTCTTATATGCCAGTGCTTACAAGTTTGGTGTCAATATGAAGAATGCTGAGAGCAGTGGTTCTGGACCAAGAGCATCACTTCACCCAAGACCTTGCTAGAGATGCAGCTGTTACTCCACATCTGCTGAATAGAAGCACTGGAATTGATTCTGATGCATGTTTACATTTGAAATTCACTGGATAGGAATGTGGAAGGCCTGGGAGAAAACACTGAGAATGTTACTCCAATGACCCGAGTCAGAAATGATGGGGAACTGAGGTAGGCTGAGGTATGGTAACAATAATTAGGATGAAGAGATAAAAAGGAAATCATTGGGTATCCCTGGCTTGGTCAGCTTTTTGTCATTGTGACAGACACCTGAAATAAAGCAGCGTAAAAGGAGGACAGATTTATTTTGGCTCATGGTTTCAAATATTTTGGCTATGGTCAATTGACCCTATTTCTTTGGGGCCATGATGGCAGAAAAAGCCTGTTTGCTTATGGCAGCTGGGAAACACAGAGACAGATTAGAAGAAGTGGGTTCCAACAAGGAAATCTCAGTCACCTAACTTCCTTCCTATATGTTCCACCTCCTAGAGGTCTTCTAGTTTCCAATAGCACCATATGTGGTTAAAAAACAAACAAACAAACCCCAAACCTTTGGCATATGTGCTTTTGGGAGACACTTAAGATCCAAATAATACAAAGTTCAAATATGTTTATCCATTAAAGTCAAGTCGAGAAGGAATGCCCAAATTTAATGAAAAAGTATATAAAAAACCAAAAAACCCCCCAAAAGTAATAGTCATACACATTTTGAAGGAAGGCAGAAAAAGCAATAAACTCAATTAAATTTTGATCCTTTTTGGCAATCTCTTGATTGGTCTTGGATATTTTGAAGGAGAAAGTCTTACTCTGATAAATATTTGAAGAAATACGTAAGCTTATTATGTAAGGAAGAATTAAAATCATAACTGGTTAGAAGAGATTACCTCTGATGAAGTGGTAAGGATAGGCTCTCAATTATACATTCTTCTATAAAATGTTTATTAAAAGAAAACCCAACAACATTCTCTATTAGTCTAATTAATCTGAATCCTTTTTTACGACATCAACTATAACTTAGGAATAAATTTGAAAATTCAAGAGTTTTAATGCCACAGAATGAAAGTTAATATGAGATTGACTTAAAATTAGCATGAATAATTTTGATGTTATCACAAAGTTATAACTTTTTAAGCATGAGTTTGTACCTTGAGATTCATGATTCACTAGTTATATCTCTTGTCTGGTTTTCAGTTGTTCTTATCCCATCTTCCAAGAGTACATTTCTTTCAATAGATTTATTTCACTTGGTCCACTCAAGTCAATAACAGCATGCTAAATCCTTTGCATTCTTATTCTTCATAGAGAAAAGCAGACACATTCCACTTAGAGTTTCAGTCCATAATTCTCCAAAATCCATCTTTTTAGGCCCTGATGACCTTTGTGCTTACAAACTCAAAGATAAAATTGTGATGCCATCTTATCTCCCTATCAAACTGAGTTTATTATTTATTCATTCACAATCTTCACTTGGACCCCATGATCTTGGTTAATAAGCTTTTCTGATTGCTTCTCTTCAGTCTTCTAGACTGACTCCACCTCTAAATATTGGCATGTCTTAGTGATCAGTCTGAAGAGCACCTCTTCTTTCTAGCTTCAATCACTCACTCACTCAATCCCTAAACAATTTCATCCAAGTCTCTTGGCCAATGCTATATACTGGTCATATACAATTTTACATATCTCCAGTCCTGCTTTCCAAACTTGTACTGCAGAAGTTGTGCATTTGAAGTCATTACTTGGGTGACAAAGCACTAATCCCAAGTTTGGCAAGTTCTAAAATACTCCTGCCAACCCCGAAATGCTCTTCTTCCAGTTGCTTAGGCCAAAGCACATGGACTTTTCCTTTGTTCTACTCTCCCTCTCATGTGCTAGCTGAAGTCCATCAGCAGTACTCCAGCCTCTCTCATCTGGTCAGAAGATGAGTACTTCTCAACTACTCTACTATCATAACTTTGGGCCAAGCAGTGGCCATCATTTCTGCCTGGATTAGGGCAATAAATGGTTGCCCCATGTCAACCTTGTACCATTACAATTAATTTTTCACTTAGCAATCAGAGTCTCTTAAAGAACATATCAGATCATGTCCCTTCCCTGTTTAAAGCCACCAGTGATTCCCTTCTCACTCAGCAAAAAATCCAAAGTCTTTACATTTTCCCTGAGATACAAATTTATCTAACAAATGATATCATGGTTCTCTTTATGCAGTCAGTGTTAGTCTCATTCTATTTAACTGATGAGTCCATTTCTAGCAGTGAGATATCTGGAAAATGTAGGCCACTGAACCAGAGAAAATTAAATGAAAGCCACTGACTAAGAATATTTCTAGGCAGGGAACTGGGAGGTGTAGCTGAGTGGAAAGAACATTTTCAATTTTTTTGCAGTACTGGAGGTTTATCCTAGGGCCTTCTCGCTTCATTATATCCCCACCCCATTTTTATTTTGAGACAGGCTCTAAGTTATTAAGTTCCTCAAACTAGGCTCAAACTCACAATCCTCCTGCCTCAGCCTCTCAGATAGCTTTAATCACATGCATGTGCCACTGCATCTAGCTAAAGAGAACAAAACAGACCAATGAATGAACAAACAGGAGTCACTTAACTCTAGTACTTTGGGAGTGGGGGGTAGCTGGGGTTGGAGTATGAGTTCAAGCCCAGCTTGGATAACTCAGTAATATGTCTCAAAAAATAAATGAAGCGGTAGTAGACCTTGTAACTCAGTGTGAGAGCTTTGAGTTAAATCCCCAGTTCTGTTGAGAAAAAAAAAAAAAGTAAAAATAAATTTGTTGATGCTCCAGTAATGGTGACTATAGCAAAGAGGAACATCAGTCCGTAAATTGAAGTATTCCAGTGACATTTATTTTCTATGACCCAGTTTATATGCAGCACAGTACACTGTCCTACAGAACTTTCTGAAATGAGAAAAACATTCTGCTTATATCTAGGATGTCAGATAAACCATCCACCATTTCAGACAGCACAGACCCAGAGTCCCCCTTCTTCCCAGCAGTGCAGGATGCACTCAGTCAAAGCAAGGATTTCTTAGCCAGTTCAAAGGATCCCCCTTCTCTCATTCCCCAGGGTGCCTCTTAGCTTTACAACCCCCATCAAGGGGCTCTGGATTTCAGTCTTCCAACTGTTGCTTGCTGAGAACTCTCAGTTCTCTGAGGTGAATGTGTTTTCTTGTTTCTTGCCTGCTCCATTATTTGTGACCTTGTGTTGTGTATTGTTCTAGAAGAAGGCCTACTGAGTGAGTGTATATGTGCTCTAATGTCTAAGAATTCTCAATTCTGCTATAAAAAAGTAGAAATACTCATAAGATGTGTTAAATGTAGATAAGGAAGTTAGCTGTAAGACACGTTAAGGCATTGATAAAATAAGAAGGGCTTATGAGTGCTGGACACAGATAGGGAGAGACAGAAGAACTAAGAGACACCAAATTTACATAAAGCACTAAACATGTATGGGCAGCAAAGGCCTCTGGCCCTCATCACACCCACTCAAAGCACACATGAGGAGGTGAGATAATCAATTTTCATATCTGGAATCAGCCTCCCATTGATAACTCTTTCTGGCCTTGAATATCCCTATTCCTCAAAATCCATAGCTGCCCCTGAGTCTACTTGGTGAGCCATATATAAGACACCACCCCAGGATTTCTCCTACAGAACAAGGGTCCATCTTGGTCCCATAGACATCTGTCTCTTTGCCTCTTTACTCACCTTTGGCTCTTATAGTCACAATATCAGCAAGGAAGGCTGATGGAACACTGATGTATGCTGACTTCATTATCTGCATTTCAGGTCATGTGTGCCTTCTGGCTTGCTCGTGCCCTTTCCTAAGTATATTATCTTACTCCACCTCTTTCTCCCTCTTTCTTGATGCATGTCTTAAATTAATTAGGTAAAGCGTGTGATTTAATATCTTAATTTCATCTCTGAGTCTTTTTGATCCAGCACCTCCTGGGTCAATTCCTTGTCAGTGTACTGGGAGAATAAGGAATATTGTGGCATTGGGCTAATTTCTTTCATGACATTGAGGGTAGATTAAAAGCTTTCCAGTATTCCCACCTAAGGATCTGCATGGACAGGCTGCTCTGTAATCACTCTGCTGCTGCTGTTCTATCAGTGTAGAATGGCAGGCCACCACAAGATACGCCACTTCTGTGAGCAATGTAAGGAGTAAGACAGCCTTCAATTGCTCTCAGACTCCCGAGCTTATCACGGGGTTTCACCTGGCCAGACTTGCTCAGGGACCAGTGCAATTCCTTCCTCAGAACTTTTATTTGGGTCTAAATAATTTTGCATCATCTCCCTCAGTATGTCTTTCTTTTGGGAAGCATTTTTTCCAAATCTGTGGATAATTGTCTAAATTTCATGCTTCTGGTCTTTAGGAACCTTGGTTTGGTTCCGATTATACAGGCCTTTGAAATGCAAATCTCTTTGTCTCAAAATATTGTCTCTAGTTTCCAAAATCTTCATGTAGTTTGATCTAGAATGTCCCTTAAAAGTCTTGCACGGGATTGTGTTCTCATGAATGAATTAGTCCCTCCTCTTTTACAAACTCCCACTACTAAGATATTCTACATCATCTCAGGTTCAAAGCAATGAAACACCTGATCATGGACTGACACCTTTGAAACTGAGCTAAAATAAAACTTTCCTCCTTTACATTGTTTCCTCCCCCTCATGAATTTTGTCACAGTGACAGGAAGCTAACAACTGTAGATTCATTAAAGCAATCAAGAGACAATTTAAAGTTAGTCACTAGTGTAGTATAAAAACAAAAGTAGTAAAATCACATTATCAGTCCAAAAGATAACCTTTTGATTTCATTTTAATGTTTAGACATTTAATGCAAAATATTGAGATGAGAGAGGAGATACAAACACATAAGGAGGCTGGCTTGAGATTTACAATTGATATGCTGACCATAAGTTAGCAATTAGAAGGCATACATGACAATGGTTTAGTCATACAGTGGAATACTCCTCAATGAGAAGGAAGGACTTAATAATCTATGCAATAATGTGGATGAATCTTGAAAACTTAATGGGACCAAGACACAGATATAAAAGAATACATATTGTATGATTTCTTTTGTGTTTTCAAACAGATAAACTCATCTAAGAAGAAAATGAAAAGGATCTGACAAGTGATTTGCCGCGATGAGGATGAGGGATGAGGACTGAGGCATGAAATTCCACTCTAGGGCAATGGAAATACTGTCTGCCTTGATGTGGATGTTGATTTTATGGACCTGTCCAGTGGACCTCTGTCACAGCTCTTCAAATTGCATACTTCAGGTACACACATTTTACCATATGTAAGTTATCCCAAGTGAAAAAATATTTGAAAACATTTCCTGTTTTTCCATTGAGCTATCTTTCTTTAGAACTGGCCAACTATATCTTGGTGTGCTATCTAGGACAATGAATAGCAGAAGTATATCTAGCATAGAGGCATAAAGGGAAATTGCATAACATGCAAATGACTATAAGCAGAGATGCTATACTTTTCAGTTTGCCAGCAAGCCATCTTATTTGTGACTTTATTATGTAACAATTGCTGTAAGATATAAACAGTGTAAGCACATTCCATCAATACTTTTTGGTTTCATATTTATCCAGAATGGTTTTTAATAGGAAACATATTTCATATATTAATTCTTGCTTCATGTAAATCTATTCTTCAAATGGCTTACTTTATTTAATTTCCATGAATTCTTTTCATTTTGGAAAAAATTTTTAATAAAATAGTTCAACTCTCTTCTCATAGTGCACTAAACACTCTAACTTACATATACCTATAGGTTCTTTCCAATACACAATTGCACTGTAGTTTTGTATGAGTGGATTGTGCACAGTAAGTGGAAGCTTATGTTTTCCCTCATCCTTTTTATGCATTTAGTGGTACAGAAAAATCTAAGGTTGCCTGGAACATTAAAGTTTTTGAACAGTGAAATAATTCTAAAAGATCTATAACATATACACTCATTGCAATATGATTTCCATTCTAATTGATAAGAATCATGAATATTTTCATTATTCATCTGCTCCTGTTGTTTATTTCTTTTAAAAAAATCTTAATCCTCTCTTTAAAATATCTTGATTGGTTGCTATGGATATTATTATTTTGCTAAAAGCATAGAATTATGACTTGCAATAAAGAGTAAGCAGCAGAATCAAATGAACTCTGGAAAATTAGTTACTTCTGCTACAGCCAAGATAAGACCAATAGTGTTAAAACTGTAAATAAAGTTGTCCAGAATTTTTCATGAGGAAAAAGTTACTTTGGAATTTTCTCAAATAATAATTAGGTCCAATCCCTGATACCAAAAAGAAAAAAAAATTAGGTTCAATGGCATTTTGGGGGCAGTTACACCATTGTAAGTTAAAGTGTATCAAAAATTTTGAATCTAAGGATTCAAACTAATAATTTGATATTAGCAATGATCATTTAATTTTTTTCCTACTTATCATATTAAATAGTAAAATAATACTCTACTTCAAACTTAGCTATTTAAATTCTTGTACACTCATTTCTGATGCTCTATATACTTTAATAAAATTATATATATTAGCCAAATTAATATTAGTAATATATAATTATACTTATTTAATAAAATACTTGTATTTAACAAATAAAATATTCTTGCTATTACATATATTCATTTCCATATTTTTATATCACCTTAATATTTTAAATTTTCAAATTACATTTAAGAAACAACCTATCCTGTTTTCAAATAACTGAATATTTATGTTGTATCAAATACTTTTCTTGCTATTATAAGTGAAATGGCTGGAAATATCTTAGTAACAGTCTTGAAAGAAATTATCTAGAATTAATTTTGAGAAGCTCAGTTCTAAGGTAAGGAGTACGAAGATTATTTTAATGTAACATGTTAAGGCCCTACCAAGATAAGGCTCTCACTAAAAGTTAAAACCTCATTAAAAGCGGGCTGCAGCTCATGTATTTATTTTATGATAGGTACTATTATCACTCCTGTAAGATAGGGAAACCAAGGCAAGAAGTTCTAAGAATTTTAGGGAAGAAAGCAAATCTGCTGTGTGCTGAGGTCCAGGGAACAGAAGTGAGTTGACTTCAGTCTATCTTGTACAAAGGGCAGGGTTGGAAATCCAGTCTTCCCCTTCCCACCTAATTATTCTTTACACTGTAGTAAGTTGTTTCTCAGGGAAGGACCTGAGGAGACTCAGTGTGTTCCTCACTGTACTTAATCTTTGTATCATTTTTCTTCCAAAAATAATTTCAAGCAGACTACATAAATGCATGAAATACAATACTACAATGCACAAATGAAGAAAAAAAAAAAACAGGGAGACTATGAGTCAGAAAATACTGTAAAATTATCCCTCCAAAACATGTTTAAGGTCATTAGAAATTGGAAAACATGTGACACAATTTGATATGCAACTGCTTTTTAGGGTGAGAAGACAGAGGGAGTAAATACCAGCACCCGAGGCACAGCGTAGGTGTGGACAAGGTAAAAAGCCCACCAGCTGCCCAGGGGCAGAACGGCACTTTCTGTTTCTGAGGTCTCTGAGCCTAGTCTTAGAGCAACCCCCCTTTCATCTCCAGATAGTGCTAAGTCACACTTTCATTTTAGCAGATGGTTGTTGAGTTGCCCTGTTAGAACAAGAACTACCTCAGAGACAGATAGCCTTGTGCCAGGAGCACCTCCCATTAGATGACTGAGTTTTGATGACTGCCACCAGGTCAGTATAATGTAGCAATAATCCTGATGGTAGGACTTAGGCATAAATACCTGAGAATCCAAGATCATACTCTATTTGAACTCAATTTAAAAAACATTTTAAAATTGTAATTAAGAATCAAATAAAATCAGCTTGATTTAAAATATTTATTTCTGACTACAAAATAAGCAGTACAGTTTTGTTGAAAATAAAAATATTACAGAACAAATTTCATGTACGTAGACTTTTTGAAGCTGAGTGTATCTTTCCATAGTTACAGTTTTATATAGATGTGTACATATGTGTATGTAGTCTTGTACCACATAATAATGTTTTGGTCAGTGATGAACCACATATAAAACACTGGTCTCATGAGATTATATCACCTAGTGATGTAGTTGTCTTAATTTGTATGAATGCACTCCAAATGTATGATGGTTACACAATGACGGTGTCACCCAATGACACTCACAGCTTTCTTAGACTGTGTCCTATCATTTAACGACTCATGATTGTATATATATGTGTGCTTTATATCTACCTACAACTACATTTATACTCATACACACATATATAATTGAGAGAGAGAGTTTCAGAGAGAGGAAGATAGGCAGAATTCAGACCAAGCAAAAAAGAAAGAGAAAGGCAGACAGTCTCTCTGACACCTTTCAGTATAATCATAGGGGATTTAATAGGGTCTTATCCATGTTGAAATACGTAAAGGACTCCAAGGCTCTTCATTTGAAAATCTTCCCATTTTTTTAACATTCATATCTTTCAGTAAAATTTTGTAACTTTTTTATACATTGCTTATTGGACTTAATACTATTATATGTGTTTGTCTTTAATATTATGAACATTAACATTTGTTTTATTACATTTTCCTGGAACACTTCTAATTCTTATGGCATTTTAAACTTTTCATCTCTGTGCTTAAAATTCTCTTCTGCTTGTAAGATTTTTGTTCTCTACAGAGATTTTCTCAAACTGAAACATTTGCTGAAAATATGTAACAAGAATGTCATTGCCTTTGTTAACTGAGAAGTTTTGAAAATTCAGTTTATTTCTAAATGTGAATAGTGTGCCAAAATTCTTTTTCTGTTCATTAAACTTTGTGAGTCAGCTCTTGCATCTATGGTTATTATTTCTGTTATTCTTTAATGGATACATATATGTGAGCCTTGGAAGGATTGAAGAAAGACTAAACCAACCCAAAACAAAAACAAACAAAAAATAACAGAGGGAAAGGTGGGGGCTGATTCTTCCTGATTCCATTTTTCTTTCTTTATCCATCAGTCCTATGTCTGCAAAATGACAGGTAAGGAACCAGCGGGTAAGGAAAACAACAAATGTGTGCTTGAGTGTCAGCTATCTCTTGCTAAACTGTATAATGTTTTCCATTTTGCATGCGCTGTGATTCTTACCCCACAATTTTATTTCATTATATTTTGTAAGAGATAGGGTCTTTCTGGTTTGCTCAGCCTTACCTCAGACTCTTAAACTCAAATGATATCTCTGCCTCAACTAGCAAATAGCTGGGACTAGAGTTGTGTGCCACTTTGCCTAACTCAGCCACAATTTTAATAACACTCATTTTCCTCTAAGTTGTGCAAGTGACATGTCTGACACAAGAAACTGAGAACATTTAAAAGCTCAAAATTATAAAAATCCTATTACCCAGAACAGTCATGTCCCCATATAACCTCTATCATCTGTGGGTTTCCCCCAAGGACCTAAGCTCATGGGAAGGATTTTTGCTTTTGGGAAGTGCTCCTGGGAAATGAGAAAGAGGGGTTGGGTAGAAAAAGAGAAGAAGACAAGGAGGGAAAAGCAGCTTTCAAAAGTGCTTTATCAAATGGTTTTCCACTCAATGATGAGGACTCAGTCTCCCCATGTCCTCTCTGACGAGACCTGGAGAGTGTGCTTCTAAATTGCTCACTCCAGAGATGGGAGAGGTGAGTGCAGTCCAGTGGCATGCAGGAACCTGCTTGGCTCTGCTTGGCACAGCCTCCTGTGCGCGGCTCTCACTGACTTTATATTCAGTGACATCAGTTGCAGCTTTCAGTTGACCTAGTGGGGGTACCTGGTGCACACACATGTAGGGGCTGTTTGTCAGAAAGTGCACTACTGATATTTATTCACACTCTCCCATCCTTCTTTGGTCAAGGGTCACCCCATGTGGCACCAACTGCCCTGTTTCTCCAAGGCTGCGCAGCCAACAGAAGATAAAGGCGTTTCCGCAGACAGCCAAGGGGGCTGAGAGAACCTCCTCCTGGCAGAGGTGAAGTGTGGCGGGGTGACAGCTGCTCTGTTGGTTTCTATGGCAGTAATTGGAGTGAAAATCCTGGCGGAGGAGACGCGAGGCATCAGAGCTGTATGATCTGAGCACTACTAATGGTTTGATAGTTTTTTTTTTCATGTGCATGGGTGCATGCACACATGCATATGTGCACATGCACACACACATAGTTTTGAATTTAAGAGATGTTATTACACCAACCATACGTGTCTTCTCAGCTTTTCTGTGTTTACTTGACAAGAAATGGTGAGCACTTTCCATGTCAGCCAATATGACTTGAGTGTTTTATTAATCTCGCACTGTCAAACATCTAGGCTATTGCTAGTTTCATGCTATTATTATGTTATGATGTAAACTTTGTATCTATATTTTTATAGACACATCATACTCATTCCTTGAAGTAGAATTACTGGGTTAGAGGGCTACAGACTTTAAAAAATCAGATTGCCTAACCTTTAGTGTGTATATTGACAAAATCCCATATCTTAAGATCCTTTCTAATTATATTATTCTATAATTTTCTCATTCTATTACAAATATCCATAATTTTTTCAGGATTAGTGCAAGCTGAAATAAAAAGTTAGGTTGCTTATAACCTATCTTATATAACTTATGTCCAATAACCCTGACTAGCATGTACTTTTGAAAACCAAAGGTATTCTACTCTAATAACTTTATACAAAGAAATAACATTTTTCTGAATAAACTCATATTAAAAATTACAAGTCAATATATTTTTAGACCTTAAAAGTTAAGTAAGATATTCCTATGAGGGCTATTAATCATTAGTCATAAATATATTATCCTCATGTCTTTAAATATGAGAAGTCTTTTGTCTGTAAATCTATCCTCATAGCTATTTTATTTGGAAGAGAGCATAGGACAAATGATTCATTGATCCTGAAGTAAAGCAATATCATTCTAGAATAAAAGGAAAGAGCCAAATAGTAACAAACAGTGATATTTCTGAATTTGAGTTTAATTCTTCAAGACTGTTGCAATCTATTGTACTTGGCTGTATTTCGTTCTTCTAGTCATATATTTTTTTAAAAAGTTTGAAATGTTGCATGTGTGCTCGAACATGACATTGCTACTCCATTTAATTCTATTGTTCTGTAAGAAATTAGAAAATACAAAATTACTGTAATGAAGCCAGAATAGGATTTCTGAAGACTTCAGGTTTAACATTCATCAAATGTATCTTCTCTGTTCTAGCTGTGCTAGCTCCAGAGATAACGCAGTGAAGCAGACAGATACCATCTCTCTCCTCTCAGGACTTGCAATTATAAACCACATTCCAGTGGAAATAAGGAAAGAAGCAGATGCCCAAACTTAGATGTGATCTTCGGTCTTCCATTGCCCTCTCAGATGTTAAACAATCTCTATGTGTCATTTCCTTACTGAACAAGCAAAGCTACACTGGTCTAACTTTTGAGGAAAGTCTCATAAAGTTGATTTACCAAATTAAATCATAATCTAAAAACACTTTAGTTTTTTAATAGCAGAAAATATAAAACAGTAGTGTGAATAACAAACATACCTATTTTAATTGATAGCAACTCTTGCCATGGTTGTGTTGAATGTTCTTCCAAAAGCCTATCCATTAAACACTTGGTTCCTGGGGTGATGCTATTGGAAGGCAGTATAAACTTTAGAGGTTTAAGGCTCTCCTTACTGGGAGGTCCTTGGGTTATTGGGGTGCCTTCAAAGGGGATCATGGAATGCTGGTTCCTTCCTCATTTTCTTTTTTGACTCCTGACCATGAAGTGAGCAGTCTGCTCTACAACAAACTGCCTGCCATTGCTTTCTGGCTTACCTACCAAAGGTGCAAAATATTGGGTCTGCTTGGTCTTGGACTGGAAACTCCCAAACTACAAACCAAAACAATTTTTTCTTTCTTAGTTTTCTCAGGTATTTCATTATAGTTTCTGAAGGCTGATTAATGCATCTGTATTTTTAGGGTTGCTCCAAGTGGTTAACATTTCTTCCCAGTTTGTATGGAAAAATCCTCTCTTAAAAGTTCATCTTTTGGCATAACAGTGCTATTGTGGATCCTAACAGGTCAGCATAGGCCTGCATGGCAGGCTGGTCCTGGCTAAAACCATGAATGGAGAGCCACAAGCCGCTCTCCCTGGACTGGGAAGGGGCTTCTTTTCAACTCCGTTTATTCAGCATCTCATACCTGCGCTGCTCTTTCCTTATTAAAAGTTTTCAGAAACTAATGTAGTATTAATACACATAGAATATAAAATATAAATTTTAGGAGAAACCAAAAGGGTGAATTTAGGAGAAAAAAAGCTTTAAGGGAAAGAAATTAACTTAAATAGGTACTTTATGCTTAGGTACTGGTGAGCACACAGAATATACTGAGGTATAAAAAAAGTCTAAGTGTAAAATAATTGAAGAATAAAAAAGAGAAAACTATTGTTTAACACTACTAGGTCATGTGATCAGTGTCAGGTGCAGAGGAAGAGCCCAGGCTTTGGGTGACAGACACAGTGCGCCTGGTGTGTTAGCATTTTGTCACTCTAATATTCAAGATAATCAACTCCTAAGCAGGAAGAGTTTATTTTGGCTCGTAATTTTGGAGGTTTCAGTCTACAATTAGTTGGCCCTTTTGCTGTGGGTCTTTGGCAAGGTAGTGCATCATGGCTGGAACACATGGTAGAACGAAGATCCTTTTATCAGTCAGAAATCAAAAGGGAAGAATTGAACGGGTCAGGATCCCTAAATCCCATAATGGGGGAGTTAAGGACTTGAAGACCTTTCTCAAAGCCCTACCCCCCAAAGATGTCAAGTTTCCCAAGAGCTATGCCCTTAGGGTCCAAGCTGTTGGCAAATGGCTTTTAGGGTTATTTAAAATTTAGCTATAACATGTAAGTTTGAGATCTTACAGGGCCTCTGTTTCTTCTGCCACAAAACTGAGATAATATCTAGTTTATAAGATGATATCTATTATAATATTTTATCATTTATCACGAGGTTTAAATATGGTAATATGTGAAAAGCAGTGGACCTTATTAAATGGCCAATTGATATGGGGTGTGGCTGGATTACAAAGGTGTTTATGAGGTCTATATATGAGCACTTCTTGAATCCCTTTGCTATCTGTCAGTTAGGTACAACAGGCTTTTTGATCATTTCTGAACCCCAGTACTTTTGAATACTAATGGACACATATGGAGGACAGAATGGGAAGAGCAGACTAATTTGAAAAACAAATCAACTTCTGCTATTTTTATGAAGTAAAATATTGATTCCTTAGTTTGTATTCTAATAAATCAGGACCTCATGTTCTGTGTTCATTTACTCTTCACTTATAAGCTGCAAAGATATTGTAAGTCAAATATTTTTCCTTAGAAAATGTATTTTAAAAGTTAATTGTCTCAATTCTTTTTATTAGGTTAAAAAACTGATAAAAACAACATAACTTTTGAGGAAAGCACAGCAAATATGGAACATGTCATAAATTTTCATGTCATCCTTGCGCTCAGGCCACGCCAATATTCTCTATAGCATTCCAATTTTAGTATTTAGGCTGCTAAAATGAGAACAGCAAGCTTGTTTTGAGTGTAAAATCTGGGAAATATTCCTAAGAAATTCTGATGCAGATCTTCAGTAGATCCTCAAGTACCTACATTTTTCTAAGACTGTAGGTCATTTCAGGCAAAGTGGCTGGAGTAATCTTAGAGAAATATGTCTTGAGAGAGGTTGCTTTGATATTCACTTTGAGAAACCCTTGTTTGGTCATCTGGTAATGCAAAGGAAAAGCAGCGCATCTTTCAGAGGTGGAAAGGTTAAAGACAATGAACAACTAATTTGATTGGCAAAGTAAAGTCAAAGATCATTTTCATTGTGAAGTGAAATTTTGGCAGTGTGTCTTTATGGGAATGTTCCTTTGTTATTAATACATATTTAGATTACTATGAATCTGGGGATGATTTGCTTTCTAACAAGTTACTAAATACTGAGTTCTGCTGGAGAGCTGGAGCAAGATGGCCAGGTTCTCTTTGCAGATATGAAAACAGCACATGGTGGGCCTGGAAGTACCATAGTCCAGTACATGTAGTTCTGTGGTGTTATTTCTTTTTTTTAAAATTTTATTTAAAGAAAGACTAAACAAAACAGAAAATAGGTAGAAATAATACATATGTTCAGAGAAAAAAATAAACAGTAAGAAATCACTAGTTGATGTTTACATATTATGTTTTACAAATAGTTGTTCAAAACACAAAAATGGAACATGTAAAGTGGAAATTCAAATAGTGACACTGCAAACAGTTCTGTTCAACTGTCCAACAAAAACTTAGTAACATGGTGGTCAATCCTATATGCTTAAACATACATGCAGTTATCCATATCTTCATTTATGTTTAGATTAAACAAACTAAAGCAGGTTAAAATCATTCTGAACAAAGAATAATAGTATTGCTGGATTTCACATCATGACACTCCGTGATCAGCACTGGGTACTGTAGTGTCTTTTTTGTTTTAATTTAATTTAAAGAAAGACTAAACAAAACAGAAAATGGGTAGAAATAATACATGATTTCAAAGAAAAAACTAAACAGTAAGAAATCACCAGCTGATGATTACAGATTGTCTCCTTACAAATAGTTATTCAAGCTACTAAAGTGGAGCATATAAAGTGGGGATTCAAACAGTGAGATTGCAACCAGTTCTGTTCAACTATCCAAAAAAAAAAAACCTTAGAAATATGGTTATCAATCCTATACACTTAAACATACATGCAATTATCCATATCTTCAATTATGTTGAGATTGAACAAACCCAAGCAGGTTAGTATCACTCTGAACAAAGGATAGTATTATTGCTAGGCTTCACATTATGACACTCCAGGACCAGCACTGGGTATTTTAGTGTTTCTTTTTCTTCAAAGTATTTGTTCATTTCATCATATGTCATAAGATTAGTTCTCATACACTGTTTATAGATTTTACACATGCATGAGTCTTAACATATATTTCTATCCTTTCTATATTAGAGGGAGAAACAAAACAAAGCAAGGCAAAACAAAACACATTCCTATTAAACACAAGAAATGAAATAAACATATAAGACCATTGTACAAAGAGTTCTACCATGGTTCCTGTGTTGTCTCTTGTTATCTCCAATAGAATTGGCTATATCATCAGACATAGTATAATTGAATATATCAGTATTAATAACAGTATTAATAAATATACAACTTTGTATATAGTATAGAACTTCAAAAACAGGCAGTTATCAAACCAGAATGTGTACTGTAGAGTCTTGTCATCTTCAGTGTAGTTGCCTCTACTCTTAGACTTGATACTATCAATCATATCAGTTTTGAATAAAATCTTCTCTGCCTCATTTCTGTTATGCTCTTTTTTTGCCATTAGTTGTCCGCTTATCTTCTTCATTCTGTTGTCTGCTCCATTCATTGAGGCCTCTCTGCCACTGTTCCTGGAATCCTAGTACTTTTCTCTCTCTCTAGAATGCCCTGCAGTATTCTCTGTAGAGTTGGATTGGTGGTTGCGAATTTCCCAAGTTCCTGTTTCTCTTGGAAGCATCTTGTTTTTCCATTAATTTCTAGAGACAGTTTAGTAGGGTATATCAATTGGGGCTGGAGGTTATTTTCTTTCAGGGCTTGGAATATTTTGCTCCAGGCTCTTCTTGACTTGATGGTTTGTGTCAAGAAGTCTGCCGTTATTCTGATGGGCCTTCCTTTATAGGTGATGGCTCTTGTCTCTAACAGCTTTTAATATTCTGTTCTTATATTGAATTTCTGGGATTTTGATTATTATATGCCTGGGTGTAGCTCTATTTTGGTTGTAGGTGGCTGGAGTTCTGTATGCCTCATATATCAGAATATCATTTCCTTTTCCTATGTTTGGGAAGTTTTCCTTAATTATTTCTGTGAATAACCTTTGTAGTTCCTTTATTTGTACCCCTGTTTCTTCATTCACATTATTCTCAAGTTATAGATCTTTTGTCATCTTCTAGCCTTTGTATTGTTACTGCTTATTTCCTTGTTATTTTTTAAAAGTTTTCCCTTTCACAATCCCACATTGCAAAATTGTCCTCCAGTTTGGATAATCTATCCTTAGTTTCTTTCAAGCTGCTTTGCCATCTTTCCATAGAGTTTTTAATTTCCTGGTGATCTCTTTGAATCTGCTTCATGTATTCTATATTTTTTTTATATTCTTCATCAAATGGTTCTCTCCTTTGTTTGTGTTCCTCCCTTCTGTCTATGTCTGCTTGAGGGGTGCTTAGTATCTCTTTCATTAATCTTCTTATATCTTGCTTTACTTGGTTAAATATTTCCCTTTTGAACTCATCTATGAGGTCCCGAATATATTTCTTAATGTCTACTGGCGCCGTGTCTGATATTGCATGTTTGCTGTTCTCATTCTCCTTTTTATTTTCTTGTCCTGGGTCAATGTTCTCAGGGTTGGGACCTGGTGATTTTTTGTTGTGCTTCCTCTTCCCATCTTTTTTGCTTCTTACAGAAGGCCCCAATTTCTTTCTTTGTTGGTTGCAATTCTTCCGAAGCACGCTGGCTAGATGACCCTTCCCACTGCCATGTGCTAGTGAGTTGCAGACAGGGACACCATATACTGGCCCCTCCCCTCTGGATCAGTCAAGCTACTGTGGCCTGCACTGTATTACTTTGTGGCACCTCCCCTCCGGATGAGTCAAACTTCTGAGGCTTCACTGGGTTAGTGTGGTTAGTGTGTTCCACCGCTGTAGGGACTTGATTTTGGATAACCTATTGGATCTCAGCCAGGTTGTGTGACCCAGGCCTAGCTCACTCCACCAATCCCGTTCGGGAAGGGAACAATTGACTGAAGACACTGCTGCTCCTTGTACTTGCCAGTCCTGCCCAGTCCCAGAATGTGGTCTGCCAGAGCCCCCCCTATTTATGGAATGGCTCCACTCCCGCCACTCACCACTGGTCAATGTAGGCACCCTGCCAACTCAGCTCTCTGGCTCACCAACCCCCAAACTCAATGTAACTGCGCCCCCAGTGAGTTGAAGCGGTGGGACCTCGGATGGTCAGCAAGTTGCCTTAATTTCTTCTTGGGATGAGAGAATCCATCTCCCTCTGTTTGGGGCTCCCCACCTCTGTGTTAAGTTGAATTCTAAGTTGACCATCTCAGGGGCCTTTGTAGCCAGTTGTTATCTACCCACCATCTTCCTTGGTGTTATTTCAATCCAAATGTTTCCACATGTGGAGAAGGTGCAGTGTCTACTGTATTCTGATGAACTGTCATTTTGGTGATGGCTGATGGGCCTTCCTGAAGGTAAGGGCTTCGTAGATGGTCAGTCATCTGGAAGTAAATCTTGTATTACAAAGTCTTTGTTGAAGCACTGGATGGAGCTTGGGTTCTGGGAGAAGTGGTCCTAACAGGGGTGTTGTTAGAGAAATAGTGGCTACTTCAAAGTGGTGGTCACAGCCCAGAGACTAAGGAGATGGAGCTGGTAGTCCATGCCTCTTGGAGTGGTTCTTTTTATGACTGTGTGCAGTTAGGTCCACTTGGAATTGATCTTTGCCACTAGTTGGACTTTTACTTGTTTCTTTTTCTTATCCAGTCCCTTAGTAAATATAGCATGTTGAGTAGATTTTTATTCCATAAATATTGAGCACCTGCCACCTTCAAGGGGGATCAGCAAACCTAGTAGACAAGTGTCCTGCTTTCAAGGGCTCTTTTCTAATGTTAGCTTCTGATATATGTAGGGAATTAAGAAGTGAGTTAGTATCCAAAACTTAATCTGGTTCCATGAAGAAGGCTGCACAAATGTCTGCTTTCTTTGTGAGCACCTGGTGGGATGGGCCTGGGGTCTGGAAAGGTCTGAGTACTTAATTCATTTTGATACCAAGACCAATATTCTGCTATCCTCCACTATAGAGAAGCCTTTTTAAATTTGGGCCCACTAAGTACACATTTTCATTAATGCTCTGTAGAACTTACATGGGCAGCTTGAACTCCAAACTATGAGGAAAGAAAGTCAGCTCTTTGCAGCTTCTACTGGAAGCATAAGTAAAAACCACTTAGTTTTTTGTTTGTTTGTTTTTGTTGTCAGGGTTTTGCTATGCAGTTCAGGCTGGCTTTGAACTCACTTGGTAGCCCAGGCTGGCCTCGAACTTGCAGCAATCCTCTTGCCTCAGCTTCCTAGAGCTGGGATTATAGGGGTAGGCCACCATATCCAGCCTTCCTAGTCAGTTCTGATGCAAATGAGAATTGTTTATAATTAACAGTTACTTTTTTGACATCCAAAAATAGCACTCTCTGTGCTTTTTCTAACCAAGCTCATGTCACTTAACATCGTATTTTAATTTGAGAAAAATTTCCTCCCATCACAGAAATAATATACATAAACCTATTAAAATCTAAAAAATAAAGAGTAGGGGAAAATTTAATAGCCTGTCTTGTGATATATTTTTTCTTTTAATGTATTCGGTTTTACATAGTTGCAGTTACATGTTATGCATAAAATTGCATATGCTGGCTTCTTTTAAAATCTGTTTTAAAAATATCTGTTAACCATATGAAACAGGAAAAATATCTCTTAGAAATTCATTTCCCAGAGCAACTATTCTTTCCTTTAATACTCTGGTACATTTCTTTGTCATTCCCTCTCCTCCACCCTCTTCTCTCCACTCTCCTCCACTTCAAATACGCTGGATGACAATTTTGTTAACAGAGGAGCCTAGGTATACCCTGTTAGAAAGACCATAAGAAGCAGCTCAGTGAAAGATCATAGGCATCAGAAGTCTTTCTCAATTAAACCTCTGTGACCCGTGACTCTGTGTGACTTTCAAAGGTTAAGCAAACCATCGTTTGTGTACCAGGGCAGAAAAAAAAGTAGTGCATTATGCTGCACTATTGTCATCTGCTTTTGTGTAGGGAGAATATCTTTGAAAAATAATTCTTCTGGTTAAATTTCTTAACAGAGTGACTGGTGTAGCTATTAATAGCAAGTGCTGGAAGAGAACACTGTTCATTACTGTTTTAAGTGGCCATTAAGCATGAAAAAGATTTCCTCTGAACAGAGAGTTGAAGGATATGGCTCAACAAGCTCACTTCCTGGCACTGGGAAGTAGAGAGAGCTGCTGAGAAGAGACTGAGATGAGGGGGACACAGTAGGGCTGTGCTTTGCACACACACAAGTAGCCTCCATTGGGAGAACTTGATTTCAGGCCCCAACTTGAGTAGCTGAGGACTCCTCTGGCCATTCTGTGACAATATCCTCTTTTTGGAATTCTTAATTTTCATTAATATCTTGGTCATCTGAACATATTTTTTAGAGATTTCCTGAATAGAATACAGGAATGATTTATTCTCCAAGACATCACAATTTTGAGAGTAAATACTATTGCCTTCATGAGTTGAGAATCCCAGTTCGAAAATTCAAACTTGGAAACATTTTAAACAACTGACATGATGTCACAAGTAGAAAATTCCACCTTAACCTCATGTAACAGGTGGCAGTCAAAATGCAGGTGTACAAAGAAGTTTATAAAAATTACATGTACACAGCTGAATTTATATATTTTTACATATATACATATATCTGAATTTCATGTTTATACCTTTTTTTTTTGTTTGTTATTGAGTACTGGGAATCAAACTCACAAGGTCATACTTGCCAGGCAGGCACAGTGTTACTGAGCTATATTCCCAGTCCTTATGTTTATACTTGAGTTCAATCTTTATTACAAGGTAATGAGATATCTTATTACTTAGATGTAAACATATAAACTGAAAAAAATGTAAAAAAAAAAAAACTACTGGAAATATCTATCTAGTCAGAGTCCAATAAAAATTGTATATATACTTTAGGAAAAGAAAAATATTAAATATCTAGAAGCTAATGACCAGCATTTTGAGCACCTTTTGTGATTGTAACGGCCAAAGGTAGTTTGTATTAATCTCATGATGTCTCAATAAACTTGGTACTAAAGTATTTATTCAGGTTTTTCTTTTCCTGAATGTATATACATTTTTGGCTCTCTCGCTCTCTCTGTCTCTCTCCCCATATGTGTATATGTATAATATATATTATATATATATATCTTTGCTGTGTTTATGCATGTACGTATATATGTAATAATTTTTTAAAAGCTTGTAGAGACGTCATGCTTTCACTATCTTCTGGAAATTACTATTGTAGAGGCCATGTCTGAGGTATCCTTTTATTTTCTCTGCCTGTGTGAGGTTTCTTTTAGGATTTTATAGAATATGCATTATGTGACTTTCTAGAATATGCTCTTCTGCAGACCTCTAAATATATTTTCCCACTGTGCAATCCAGTTTCTTTCACTTTCTCTTGCAGTCCTTCCATGATAAAGTCTTGGACAGGAAGTCTTGCACTGGGATAAGGAGGTCAATGTTAAAGAAGGTTTTAGGGTGCAGAAGGAAGTAACCTCCTGCGGAGGCCTTCCCTGCCCACCTGTCCCTAATCCCAGTCCTACTCCTGCATTTCTTCTCTCTGCCTACTTTGCTATTCTCTAGAACACTTCCCTGCCTGACATAGATCAGGTTTGCTCCTCTATGGCCTCATAGACTTTTCCTAGTCATGCTTTGCTGGATTGTATTGAGATTACATTTTGGTCTTAGTCATTCTTCGTGAAAAATGCACAAACAACATGGGATTTTCCCTGTTCCCATGACACCATTTTCTTGTGAGGGGTACAATGTGCTATTATTGCAAATCAGTCCAAAGGTTTTTTTTTGTTTTGTTTCGTTTGGATGGAAATTACAAATTGGCAAAGCGCAGTTCCAGGCATTGAGTTCCAGGGGTTCTCACCCCTTAGGTGCTAGAAGTAGTGTTACAGCCTATGGCAGTTTTTGTTAGCTCCTCAGCAGTCAAGGCTCAAACCCCATTCCCATCCCGAGCCCATGATAGCTTCTGTTGCTTCCCAAAGCTCTCTACAAATCTGTGTTGTTCTCTTTCCAAAGCTACCATTTGCTGCTGGTAGATACCACAGATTAAAATTTGTTGTTGCCATTAGTCAATGCTGATGGCTGGTATTGATTGATATCACTGGTGGTCACTGTTAATTGTCCCCAGTTAATTCTGCCAATTTCTGGTGCTCTTTAAGGGTAGCAGCCCCTACTATTCACTGCTCTTTTTAACATGACTTCTCTGTCCAACTACCCAAGAGTCTTAAGTGGATTTATAGGCCTTCCTAGGCCCTGCTACCCAAAAATTAATCAGAAGCAGATTTACAGGATCACTGGAGCAAGGCTTTACTTGGACTTGTGCTGCAGTACAGGTCTAGAGGGAGCCTTGCCATTCTAACCCAAGAAGTATGAGAATGTGTTGCTTATGTGGAGGACAGAGAGGGAAGAATCACCTGGGATTGGTCCAAGTTTCAAGTCTTGGCAGATGGAGCCTTCAGGGATTGGCTACAGGGTGAAGTCAGCTGGTATTGGTCAAAGTCTCAAGTTTACTGTGACAGAGGTGATGGCACAAGATGGAGTCTTTAGAAGTGGCCATACCCAGCAGCAGAGCCTTTTGGGACTGGTTCATTCTTCAAGCCTCCTGTGTTCAATGCAGACATCCCCTGGAGCTCCTGGGCATCTGCAGCAGCTGCAGCTGTAGCTGTTAGTGATAGCATAAACCATTCTAGTCAGGAAAAGAAAAGGTCATCTGTTTCTTGTTTATGTCACTAGTGCATTCTCATCCTTCCTGCTCCTAACTGTTTCCTCCGAGTGTCAGGAACGTTAGTCAGCTTTGCATTGTTGTGACAAATACCTGAGAAATTTACCTTAAGTGAGGAAAGGTTTATTTTGGCTTTTATGATTATAGGTTTTAATCCTTGGTCAGCTGGCTCTTTTGCTTTAGGCCTGTCACTGGTGAGGCAGAGGAAAGCTTCTCACTTCATGCCAGTCAGGAAGGAGATGAGAGAGAGAGAGAGAGAGAGAGAGAGAGAGACAGAGGCAGAAAGAGAGACAGAAAGAGACAGACAGTCAGAGACATAGAGAGACAGAGATAGAGAGAAACAGAGAGAGAGACAGAGACAGAGAGAGGAGATAGACAGAAAGAGACAGAGAGACAGAGACACAGAGAGACAGAGATAGAGAGAAACAGAGAGAAAAAGAGAGAGACAGAGAGACAGAGAGAGAGAGAGGGAGAGAGAGAGACAGAGAGAGAGAGAGCGAGAGAGAGAGAGAGAGAAAGAGAGACAGAAAGAGACAGACAGACAAAAACATAGAGAGACAGAGATAGAAACAGGGAGAGAGACAGAGACAGAGAGAGGAGAAAGACAGAAGAGACAGAGAGACAGAGACACAGAGAGACAGAGATAGAGAGAAACAGAGAGAGAAAGAGAGAGAGAGACAGACAGACAGACAGAGAGAGAGAGAGAGAGAGAGAGAGAGAGAGAGAGAGACTGAGACCAGAGAGAAAGATTGTGAGGATCAGATTTAATCTCCAAGGTCACAGTCCCATGATTCAATTCCTATGACTAGGCCCCATCTTCTAATAAACCATTCAGCATAGATTAATTCATGGATAAAGTTAATGCCTTCACGATCCAATCACTTCCCAAAAGTTCATCACTTTTGGGACTTTGGGAACATTTTACATCTAAAGTGTAACAAACAATTTCTTTCATTTTTTTCAAACTTGTTTTATTTTATTTATTTAGTTTTTTCTTTGAAAACTACTGTGTCTACTATATTTTTAATTTTAAAATGAAGAAAGAATAAAAAATGGTGCAGAATTTCAAAACAAAAAGTCGATTAACACTAATTAATATATTGTATATTGCTATCTTCAACATAGTTGTTCCGATTACAAGAAATAGGCATGAAAAAGTGATCGAACAATTGAATAATAAAAGCACAAACTGTTTTGATAAACTAACAGATCAGTAGTATTGTTATCTATCTTGTATAAATATATATATATGAATACATGCATATACAAATATTTTTCCCTTCTCTCTTTTCTCTTTTCCCCATCTTAGTTGTTCTTAACTTTGGAGCAATTTCTTTCCCTCTCACTTTCACAATACCTATTGTACATTGTGGATTTCATTTACTTTTTCAGTTTTTTCCACTAGGGAGACAATGTAATACTTATACATGCAAGTCTGATTTATTTCCCTTTTACGTATGGTCTCAAGTTGCATTCATTTACCTAGAAAAGCCTCGAGTTTATCTTTATAGATATAATGGAGTAATATTCCATTATAAAAAATACCTCATATTTTTTAATCCATTTTGTGGTTGAGGGCATTTGGATTATTTCCAAGATTTAGCTATTACAAATTGTGCTGCTATAAACATGGGTGCACATATATCACTGTGGGATGATGTTTTCAATTCTGGGAAAATACTCAGAAGGGCAATACTTGGATTGAATGGGACCTCCAATCCTTGTATTTTGAGGAGTCTCCACATTGATTTCCACAGTAGTTGTACCAGTCTGCACTGTCACCAACAGTAGAGAAGGGCTCCTTTTTCCTCACAGCCCCTCTAGCATTTGTTATTGGTTGATTTCTTGATGATAGCCACTTTTTCTGGAGTGAAGTGGAATCTCGGTGTTGTTTTAATTTGAATTTCTCAAATGACCAGTGATGCTGAACATTTTTTCATATGTTTATTTGCCATTTGTAATTCTCCATCTGAGAAGCGTGTATTCATTTTAGATCCCCAGTTTTGGACTGTGTCTTTGAATCTGGGGCCCAGATTTTTTTCAGTCTTTCTTTGTATTTTCTAGATATAAGTCCTTTGAAGGACAGTTGGCTAAAATTTTTTCCCATTCTTGGGGATTTATTTTCACTTCGTTAGTGATTTCTTTTGATGTGCAAAAACTTTTTAATAAGATGCGATCCCAGTTGTTGATTCTTTGAAGTATTTTCCATGCATTTTTCATTTTGCTCATGAACTCTTTACTTACTCTTCTATCTTCAAGGTTTCTACCTAACTTGTATTCCAGTGGATTTAGGGTTTATGTTTTAATATTTAGATCTTTGACCCATTTTGACTTTGGTTTAGTGCATGGTGGTAGACTGTGTTTAGTTTTAGTCTTTAGCATGTAGAAAACCAATTTTTCCAATACTATTTATTAAAGAGGCTGTCTTCCAGTGAATGCTCCTTTGTCAAAGTTAAGGTGGCTGAATATCTTTGTTGTGTCTGCATCTTCTAACCCGTTCCACTGATCCTCAGGCCTGTTTTGTTTTGTTTTTTTTTTTTTTTTTGGCCAGTATCATGCTGATTTTATAACAGTAACTTTGTAGTATAATTTCAAGTCTGGGATTATGATGCCTAACAATTAATTTGTAAACGGATGTAATACTAACTGATGTTCTACTTGAAAGACTGCTATACAACAGCAGTGTGACTGTGTTCATTCCTCTACAGAGCCATGGTTGCCTCAAAAAGCAGCAGTCATGTAGTAGGTCAGAGTTTATGTATTTCTGATTGACCTAAGACTCATATTTTTATGTGGACTTTGTTTTTGAGGCTAAAAGGGAGTGAAAAGATGACTGATTTTCTGCCTAGATGACAGTTCCTTTTATTGGAGGTAAAAGTTGAGAAGATCATTCAGATTCTGGGTTCTTAGTTATAGGTTGTGGTTCTTGTTTTCTCTATTGTGATTTTTTCCCATTTTGTACCTTCATATGAATTTTAATACTATACTATTGTTTCAGGCTTTCTACCAGATTTGCTTTTTCAAATTGGGCTTGATTTATTAATTTATTTGATACACACGCTTCACAGGGAATGGAAAGGTGAAGTTTGAGGAACTCAATCTGTCCCCCAAAAGACAAGTAAGAGACTGCAAGTTTAAGTTACTATAGAATATTTAAGCGTGCCTTGTTATTGTTTCTAAATGCACACAAATGCATCTTTTAGCAATTTTTCACCACATTCACTCTTACTATTTTATATGATTAGAAAGTTTTAAATAAATCTACCTGGTTAACTAAGGTTGGAATGTGGATTATACATTTACTTTATCCATTTATAAATGTGAAGAACTGAAGACTACGAGGGAAAAAAATGAAACCCAGAGAAACTGATAGAATGTATTTAAATAATTCCTTTGTAATTTGCTGATGCTAAGACATTTTCTTCCCTTGAAAACCTGAAATTTCTCTTTTAACTTCCCTGAAGTTTGTCAGAATAAATTAATGAATTAATTAATATTCGGGCGTTTTGTGGTATTTTGACAATAGTCTTCAACCTTTTCTCATGTTACTTTATATTTGAGACAACATATTCACAGTTTGTTGATAATGCATTTCGTTGCAGCCTGAGATATCTTCAGGTCTAAAGCCAGGTTCACATTTTTGCTTTGAAGAGACAGAAATTCCAAACAAATACAAACAGTCAGGCCATAAACTTAATCAAAATTTCTGTTTTACTAGATGTTACATTAAATATGGCCATAATGCCAAGAGAAATACGTGAAAAATCCATTTGCATCCACATCTTGCTGCTTCCACATAGTATAAAATAACAAAATGCTAAGAGGTATGTGTTTATGTGGAAGAACATGTGTACGTGAATCCACTTTTCTTTTTGGGTTTGGCTGCTGTACATGTTTTGACCAATAAAAGATGGATTTCAATTAAAATCTGGGACTGGCCAGCTGCGTATCTGTTAACTTTTCTTTTGTATAATATTGGAGCACGAATTTATATACTTTCCAAAGTACTGTGTGGTTTGTTCCTTTACTTTTTCTGCAAATCTTGAACATCTTTTTCCTATCCAATTTTCCCAGAATATTTGCTTACTTAGAATTCCACTCGTCTCCAGCACAATTAAAATGATCATGCACAGGAAAACAAAGCATGGCTTTCTTATAAAATTTGAAGAGGAGGGAAGGATCATCTTTGTCACTTGCAGACGAAGACCCTGTGTCATGTGCAGGCAAAGGAGAGAGTTGTGGTGCACACAAGCCCAGTGAAGCCTGGAAGTGAGGACTAAAAGCACAACTGGGCCACGTTTGGCACATCTGGTTGATGCTGCAGTAAAACTTCATTTGTAGGAAGAAGGGCCTCAGACAGAAATGCGTGTAAAGACTTGATTAAGTATGATTACAAAGAGGGACAGAGATATAAACCAGGGGAAAAAGGGTAAACTTGTCACTAAGGTCAACTGAGTGTCAGTCCTACATTATATAGAGCCTGATGAAATGCTTCTGATTGGAATTCTGTCCCCTTTAAGCTGCACTTGTTGAAGATACTAATCCTTAGTATCTCAGGATACAACTATGATTGGTGGTAGAGTCTAGAGAGACTGATAAAATTAAAATGATCCTGTTAGGCTGAGCCTTAATCTAACCCTACTAGTGCTATTGTAAGAAGAAATTTGGATCCACAAAGAGACACCAGGGATGGCTGTGCTCAGAGGAAAGGCCAGGTGAGGACACAGCAAGAAGACTGCTATCTGCCAGTGAAAGAAAGAGGCCTCAAGAGAAGCAAAATCTGTTCATACCTTGATCTTGGACTTCTAGCCTCCAGACCTGTGCAAAAACGAATTTCCTGTTTGGGGTATTTAGTCTGTGTTTGCTTTCCTATGATAGGCCTAGAAAATTAATTTACCCCTTGAAAGGTAAGTTAACAAACAAGTTTTGACTTGGGAGGATTTCCTGCCCAGCACTTCTGAGTCATATATCCTTGGGCATCAACCAAGTGTCCCTGAAGTCTTATGCATTGGGGTCAACAGATGTCCCAGCACAGGAGGTGACAGGAGCACATCCGAATCAACGATGAGGCCCTGGTAGGTGGCAATGTTGAGCAGCAGGCAGGAACCTGTGTGGCAGTGGGCTCCAGGGGTGGGGAGAGAGGGTGGCTGAAACAGGAGACAGATAAGCCGAGAGGAGCTAAGGTAGAGCTGAAATGACACCTGATACATGGTGTGATGCTGGTTTTAATAATAATAATGGATGATATTTATTGAGAATATCCTACATGACACACACAAAGCTCAGTATTCTGCATAAGCCATCTCCCTGAACTCCAGCAAACACACTGAGATTTAGGTGATGTTCGTATCTCTGTCTTACAGATGGAGAAACTGAGGCTCAGGGAGGCTCAGCAATTTGCCTAAAAGTGTAAAAACTGAACTCCAGTTGTGTGGCTCCAAACCTACTTCTTCACTTTACTTTCTATCTATGTTATGAGTGAGCCGACATTCTAGAAAGAGAATTTAGAATAGGGATTTTAAATTAATGCTCAAGTTTTTCTTAGACAAAATATAAGGTACAGTCTTCTATGTCTGAGACGAATAGAAGGTTAGTAAGACAGAGTAGTTAAGCAGTCAGACACCAAGCCAAGTTTTGTATTCCCAAATACCAGCTCAACTGCTTACCTTCTGTGAGGCTTTAGGGAAGTTCCTCAACATCTCTGGGCCTCTCTTCAAATCCGTGGATGACACAAATGGCATTGCCACATAGTATTGCTGTGATGAATATTATTTATATTTGGAAATGGTTTTTTATATCTAGTGAGTACTAGGTATTTTTTCTTATTATAATTTTTGTATTATGGACCAGATATGACTTTTTCCAAGAACTCTTTTCTATACAAAATTCTTGAAATTACATGTGCATTTCTGAATTTTTGCAACACTTCTTTTGCTGTGCAAGCTAAGGGATGTATTTTTTTTTTAAGTGTCAGATGCCAGCTGTTAAAACTCACATTGCCGGCATCATAAATGAAGTCACCATTTGGCGAGCAATTTCTTGGCAGAAGTGGTTCTCACCAACAGAAGAAATGAAAAAAAATTAAATAAAATCTCCATTGTGATCCATTAAGCATTTCATGGCTCAGCAAGTTTTTCCAGCTGCAAAGTTCTTTTCCTTCTCTCTTAGAACTTACAGGGGCAGGCTGTGTGCAGGAAGTAGGATGATGGCTCTGTCTTTCTTCCTTGTTTCCATTTTTCTGCAGGTGGGGCTCAAGCATGATCACTGGATTAAAAGGCCTCAGCTGATTATCTGATTGCTTTAATTTAATGTGGGAAACCTAGTCTCTGGTTGCAATTGTAGTTCTTATCTTGTTTCTCCCTTTGGAGGGTAGATAGAGCATACTTCCTAACTGTAAAACTTGGGGGTTGGATTAGATATTGACTAAGACCTCTTTGGTTCTGACATTCTGTGGCTCCAGATTCTCTTCTTCTTGGGTAATGTTTTTTGTTTTCAAGGGCATTGGGTAGGTCCCCATATTCATATGTGATCATTTGAGTTTGGGCTGCCACAAAGGTGAAAAAGCAAGACCCTGCATTTCAGTAAGGCTTTACAATTTATGCAATGCCTTCACATATTCATCGTCCTTTCTATACTTCTCTGAACCTTCCAAGTGATTTTGCAAGAGAAGAACGAGGAACAGGAAGACTGGGGAAGTTAAGTGATTTCTCCAAGGTCACACAGCTTATTGGAAGCGAGGTCAAGTTTAAAATAAATTCTATTGGCAAGTGCAGTGTTATTTCAGTGTGACAAAGTGTCTTCTAACCCAGGGAATAGTCATGATGATTTATAAGGATTCTGTCAATTCTATTAATTGCTTCTGTGGGACAGCATTGATCTGTTAGTTCTGATTGGGTCATGTGCATAACTCTGAACCAATCATTGTGGCCAGAGGAGTATAAAGTTTTTGAGTGACCAGGCCTACGCATAGTTTCCTTTTGAAACTTGGAATGCAGTTCGCTTCCTAAATCACATAGCTAAAAAACAGGTGGAGGAAAATCAGGGGCAGCCTTCAGTTGAGGAGAGAATAAATAATACATTAAAATGATAAGAAAATTACCGTTATGCACAGAGGAAGCAGTTCCCCCCAATACACCTCAGAGATAAGGTTTTTTTTTTTTTTTAAAAAAAACATGTTTTATTTTGTCTTAATTTAATTTTTTTCAAGAGTAGATTTTCTTTGAAGCCTGTCAACCCAAAACTAACTCAAGTGTGATTGAAAAAGCATGGAAATCAAAACTCGATCATTTCAAGTATGAGATTTCTGGAAACCTATAACCATTTTGTGCATTTGGGTCCTAGCTCAAAGGACACAGGCATTCTCCTTTGGGACATGAACTAATGTTTTGGAATTCTCCCTATAAGATCAAATCTCCAAACACTTCCTGGACACCTTATCTGTAAAATGGCTCACGGTAAACAGAAGTGTTTGGCCTTTTCATGTTGCCTATTTTGTCAATTTGATTCTGCCATCAGTCTTCTTGTCCTGTTAACCCTAGGTTTTACAACTGTTAGACATTTTTTTTGGTGGTGGTGGGGTAACATTCAAATCCCCTTTGGCTTAGAAAAGCTGCTCAAAGGGTTTTTTGAAAATTTGTTTTTGGATTATAGTCTGTTGACCCAAACTTTCCCCTCAGTTGTCATGGTAACTTTTATATTGCAAGAGCTCAAAGTTAACTTAGAACTTTAACAAGCAGACTTCTTCCAGATAGAAGGTCTGGTTTGGGACATTTGGCCTGGGGAACTGTTTTTACTCCAAAAAAATAACTAGAAAATAACTAGCAAATCATTCTGGTTCAACTAAACTAATCTCAGACCCAACCATGGAATGTAAGGTTATAGCCCAGTCCTTCAAAGGGACTACTCAACTCTTGCATGAGCACTTTGAAAATTAGTAGTTTGAAAAGATTCCGTAGCCTGCTGGTTACCCTATAGGTGGAGAAGAGGCAGTGAAAGTGATCTGCAGGGTGTGGTTATTGCTAGAAGGTGTGGTGCAGGTGTGCCTCCATGCCCTGTTTCTTCACCCATCCTCAAACTGTTGGGTCAGGTTTCTAGAGGCACTGACTTATCCCACTGCTAACCTGCAGCCTCAAAGTCTGACTCTCGCATATGTCTGGGATCATTGTTTGGGAGAACTGATTTGTGAGCTTGGCAGATTTTCTCGTTGAAAGACAGCGTCTCTGTTAATTTAGGGATCGAAGCTTCTTTATTTCCCTCAAAGACTTTGCTTCATTCAGGTTTGCCTCTTAATGACTCTACCCTTTCAACAGCCATGGAAGGACACAATGGGAGTCTGTGTACTTATCTTTTTGTTTTATTAGTTATTATTTGTGTATTTATTGGGAGGAAGAGTTATCTGTGGTTTAGTTTCTGTAACTAAAGCTTATTTCTTTAGGCCACCATTTAGAGGAAGATTTTTTTTTTTGTACCAGGGAGGGAACTCATGACCTTGTGCTTGCCAGGCAGGCACTGTGTCACTGAGCTACATCCCCTGCCAAAGGAAGACTTTTAAAAATAATTATTGAGGCACAATTTACACAAAACAAAATCTACTCATTTTAAATATATAACTCAATGACTTAGTAAATTACACAGTTGTACAAGCAGAATCACTTTCCAACCCTAGAACGTTTTTAATACCTCAAAGAGATACTGTCCATTTGTCATTTCTATTTCTAGTTTCTAGTTTATTATTAGTCTACTTGGCTT